TTAATCTTCAGCTTCTAACTGAATTCATTTTTTGCGTTCTTGAAGCTAATAGTCTTTGTTGTTCTTCGTTTTTTCCGTTCTTCTAACGCTCTTTGTTTTTCTCATTCTTGAATTTCTAATTGCACTTGCTTTTCTAATCTTTCATGTTCTTCTTTCCTCGATAATTCTTTCAAAGACTTGTTTTACAAATAGTTCATCATAATTTTTACTATTTGTGATGATGTTTTTAATCATAATCACAATGACGTCTGGTGGAACCGTTTCCCCAATTTCATAACATGTTCAGTTAGATCGCTTTTATGTCCCTTGCCAAGAAAAGACATCTTTACAGTTACTTTTTATATATGTTTAATCATGTTATACTTATTATTACATTGAGTGCGGCGCCGAATTTGCTGACCTTTCTGTTCAGCCGGCAGCGAGCTAAGTTGTAAAGCTAAGACGTATTTTTGTTTAGAATGTTTCAAAACATTTCATTAAAACTAAATTTGATCACATTTCATTGGGACTATATTTATTTTTTAACTTTAATACTATCAGTCCCGCGGACCGACGCCAGCCAAACGAAAACTCCAGTGCTAATCCCCAGGGACTGACACCAACCACACCGTAAAGTTCACTGCCAGTCCCTAGGGACCGGTGCCGCACTCAACGTGTTATTGATACGTTTAATAGCTTTTGGAGATATGTTTAAAAGCTTTCATGCATATGTTTAATGGTTTCATTGAAACGTTTAATAACTTTAGAACAGAGTAAAAAACCAACAAAACATTTACCTTTTTCGTTTTTGCATCAGACCTACAATGGCATTTAGTCACAATAAATTGACATTGACATCGGCAGTCCCACTTCTGAAATTGTTGGCGTCAGGATTTTTCTCTTACATCCACTATGTGTATTGTTTTGTTTTTACGCTATTTATCAGGACAGAAATTTACAAATGCTTTGAATATCTTTTTATATCATGACGCTGTCTTGGTGGAAGACTATTTCTTGATATGTTTAAATGATAATATATGAGAACAATATCGAATGAGATCATCAAGGCAACTGACAAAGAAGATAGCCCTAGATTAAGTGATTTTGAAGAACTATAACATATAGAACACAGTGAACAAAACTAGAGATTAATTAGCTGAAATGAAAGGTCCTGGAAAAATTATGCCCATGAATGAGGAGTGATTTTATAAATTCTGAAGAAAATTTGGAAACTATTGCAGATGAAATAGTAAGTCTAATGAATAAACTACTGTTGGATGTTAACATTGAAGACATTAATGAGTTAATTGAATCTCAGTTGAATGAACACTTAATTCAGCAACAAGATTTTAAAGCAAATGTGCAATAAAAATGAGGAAGTAGAAGCTGATAAAAGTGTCAAGACTTTGACTATCAAAAATATGAATGGAACCTTCACACATCCTGAAAAATTTTTACTGTCGTGGAAAAATGGAATCCTAACGAAGGACTCGCAGGGTATCCACAATTAAACTTGAAATTTGCGAGCCGTGTGTAGCAAAAACTATACAGCAGCATTGCATGAAAATTGGGTAATGGCAGAATGAAATAATGGGAATTTTATCCCATCATTTCAAGATGGGTTAAACATACGAAAACAAAGGGAGAGGTTGGAAACACAATGTGTTTAAAAAAACTCAGGAATGGAACAAAACATTCCTGAGTAATGGAACAAACAAGAAAAAAGAAAACAATGAGTTTCAAAAACCACCCTTAGGTGGCATATCAAAGCTTTATTGAGAACATATAAATAATCTACAAAAGTTTACAAAACATGCTCAATATGATGTTCTACCATCTGGAACAAAACATGCTCAATATCATGTTGTCTGCTACCATCTGGAAGCATAAAATCACATGTTCAACTGTTGAAAGCAGCATGAACTTGGAAATGTTATGCACATGGTGTTCTATGCTTTCTCTAAAGTCGGATAGAGATGGGATGGGATCATGGTAGAAAATGGCCTTGCGGTATCCCCAAAGCCAAAAGTCGCAAGGATTCAAGTCGGGGAATCTAGGAGGCCAAGCTGTAGGAAATTGCCAGCTGATAATTCTGTCATCATCGAAATGGTGGTGGAGCACTTTTTCACACAACGGGCGATGTGTGGAGGAGCACCATTCTATATAAACACTGTGGTTGTATCATATCGCCTTGCCTGAAGAGCCAGAATAACAGATCGCTCTAATAATGAAACGTATTGTTGACTGGTGACGGTGCATATCACAAGCCCTGCGGTGCTGTGCTCTTCAGGAAAAAAAAAAAAAAAAACATACCCACAATGAAGGTTGCAGTAAAGTCGCACCAAACCGTTACATGCAAAGAGTGTAATGGAATTTGTAGGATTGATCCAGCTCAAATACGGTAATTGTGCTTGTTAAAGCACCTTCCATATAAAGGTGGGCCTCACGGTCCACAAAATGCTCTATGGCCTTTCATCCTGGAGCTCAACTTGTGCAAGAAATCACAATGTGAAAGTTTGTCGACTATTCAGATCATCTGGAAAGAGCTGCAGCACTAGCGACAGTTCATAGGGATAGTAGCGTAAGACCTTTTGAAGAATTTTATGAACTGTGAAATGAAGTTGATTAACAGATGCTGCAATACGCCGAACACTAGTGCTGTCAATGTTTTGTAATCTGTCTTCCTCCACTTGCGTCGCTACATCGTCTGCTACCTGTGCTGCAACATACTTTCGATCCCTTCATGGCTGAATCCCCAATGTTCCCGTTACTTCAGATTTCCTAATCATGTTTGTTAATCCTTGACTAGTGAGTGAATCTTTTCATAACTGCTTCAAAGACCGAAATTTCCGTAAAGCTTCGGTAGTAGAGTCCCCGTTTTGGCAAAACAGTTTCACCAGTAAAGCACATTCCTAAAGAGTCAACTTAATTTTCCTTAACTTGGAAACAAGTATGACTACGGTTCGCCTCTCGCAACTTTATGGGGTAGCTGTGCGCACTCAGTATTACCATGGTTTACGACATTTGCATATGCCAATAGTTTACATTGTATAACACCATCCATTGGTGGTTTTTGAAACTCCTTGTCCCCCCCCCCTAGATAAAATTCCCATCATTTCATTCTGCCATTACCTAATTTTCATGCAATTCTGCTGCATAGTTTTTGCTACAGACTACTTGCAAATTTCAAGTTTGATTAAGGACACCCTGTATATCTCAAGTACATAGGACAATTGAAAAAGACACACAATATTGTAGAACTTTTTATCAAGAAAAGAGGAAAAAAGGTGGTATTCAGTTAACTCTTAATTTTTCTAGTAACTCTAAGTTTATATATATATAAAACTCAAAATTCTTAAGCATGCCATGTTAACTTAATATATATTAATAGATAAATAATATTACTGATAAATAAATATTTTAAAATGCAATTTTTAATGTTTCTTTCTTTAACATCCCTCTGCATTGGAGCATTCAAAATTCGCACATATTTTCAGGAACCAGTTATGTGCAAAAGTTGAATGTCGCCTGTAGTATAAGTTTTTAATACTTCTACTACAGGAAAAGTAATAAAAAAATCCATAAATATTGAATTCATTTATTTTTCATAGCTTGCAACAGTTCTTGCTAATTCCAGCGTTGTTCAAGGACCCAAAAGGGTATATAGTTATGATACAATTTTTACTACTGATTGTGAGCTGTAGATTAGTCAAAATATAATCATTGCTTAAAGAAAAAAATGTATTTTATTCAGTTTTAAATTTTAACGCATAACAAAATCTTTACATAAATTTCCACAAATGTGAGGTCTTTTTGAGTACAGGGCCCAGTTAGATGCATTCGCTCCAATAGGCAGTTATTCAACCTTGCTACTTCAGAACCATCTTGAAGAAAAAGAAGCTAAACACTTTTAGACATCATCCTTCAAATTTGGACGACTTAAAATCCAAAGGCAGATTGAAGGCAAAATTGATTGCTTGGTTAATGGATCGAAGTAAAGCACAGAATTGCAATCTATTTAAGGGAAGCAGTGCTTTTGTGGAGGACTTAAGAAACTGGTCTGTAATCATGTTACTTATGGGGAATACCATAAAAATACAGATGCAGCCAGGTCAGGATTTGCATGCAGTCTGAACTACCAAACTGAATAATGTTCAGTGCCATTGGTGAACTACAAAGTTATCTGAGTCTTCCATTGGAGGTGGAAGACTGGGAGAGCTCGTACTTAACTGAACTGAAAAATCTTTGAAACTGTATACATATATAACATACGTAGATATTTTTATAATTAATAAATAGTAATTCTTAATGTTTCCAACAATGGTGAAATATTCTCTGATATATCTTTACTGTGTTTTGCAACTTTGAACTGGGTTCCAAAATAGATTAAGGTTATTCCCATTGTAACCTAGTAGCATACTTCGTAGTGAGCGATTTACATAATGAACACAGTTCTGAAAAATGGGGTGGTATTTGTTTTGTTTTCAACCTGAATAAAATCGGGAATGTGATGTTAAAATAATTAATTCTTTTTTGATCAAATGAATAAAATACAACTTTTTAAATCCATAGTTTGGAAATTATTTGATGCAGTTTCATACATTTAGATTGAAGTTAATTTTTGATAATATTTAGGGATGTCTTTTTTGCTATTGAGGATTGGTAGATGGCCATTGGCAGAAATACATTATTATGAAATGAGGACAAATAATTTGTTTTCGCAGTCATATAATAAATTTTATAATTTGCTATTGTTAGAGAGCAGATATGCATCCCTTCCATTCAAAATATTGTAAAAAAACAGTATTATTAATTTTGAAGATAAATAATAATTACTTAGTAAAAATTTTACAAATCAAACATGGAAAAAATGCATCCATCTTTTCCCTTAAAGTTAAGTTTAAGGAAGTTTGAAATCAAAGTTTGGTAGAAAGTTTTCTGTATTATTATTATTGCTGTTATTATTATTGAAACTATGGAAATTTTGTCCAGATAATTCTTTTTATTTTTTATTTTTTTAGTGTAGCCAATTTGTCTGATAGTAAGCTCAAAAAGGAAGTTGATAATGGGTTTAAAAATGGAGAAGTTTTAGATGCTGAAGGTAAAATTTTATGCTGCAGATTGTTTTTGTTGATTCTTATAGCACTAAAGTACTAAAATATTAATTATTAAAGTTACTTATATGTGAAAGTGTATAGTTTAGTTTTAGAATTTAAAAAAAAAAAGTTTTCTCATAAGCCAGATTGCATTAAATAATTGTAGTATTAGTTCATTAATTTTAATTTTTTATAAGAATTTGAAATTGTGTGCTTGTTGAAAGTAATGTAGTTCTTATTAAGAATTATTAAGCATTTAATTCTAGACTTAACATGTATTGTATTTACCTCTATATTCATATTCTATTTATGTTTATATTTTCTTATTTGTTTTCTAGATGTGTACGAGGCAGTAGAAAAACTTCCAGATGCTTCCAAAGTTACACAGTTGCTTGGACTGTTAATAAAACGCTTTGATTATGCTAAGAGGAACTGGGGCCTTTTAATTATCCAACTTCTCTTGCCATTCATAATTACAACTCTCTGCTTTTATATTATTTCAGTTACTTCTATGCAGTATTCAAGTACTTATACACCTCTGAAGTTAGATATAGGAGATGTCTATGGTGAAACAGATGGATTCTCTGAGGCAAATGAAACTGACATTTCAGGGCATTTTAAAAATGTGCTTAAGGAAAATTCTGTATCTGTAACAGATACTAAGGATCCTAATAAACTAATTTTAGACTATGGTGCCAAAGATCTCACAGCTTATTTGAAAAAGTTCCTAGTAGGTGGCAGTGTAGGAAAAGAGGAAAACGGTAGTCTTATTTTAACAGCTTGGTACAATGGTGAGCCTTATCATGCAGCCCCTATGTCTCTTTTGCTCATGCACACTTCTCTCTTGAGGTCTGTTACTAGTACAGGCTCCATAACATTGAACAATGCTCCTTTGCCAAGTTTTCGAACAACTTTTTATGATAATGAAGTTAGAATCATAGAACGAATAATGGGAAGTATTTTTATTTCTTTAGCATTAGCTTTCATATCTTCTAGCTTTGTTCTTCTTCCCACTCAAGAAAAGACAACGAAGGCAAAATTATTGCAACTTATGACCGGCTGTTCCACTCCCTTTTATTGGTTTACCATGTTTATCTGGGATTTTTTTGTGAATTTTATCATTTCCCTTATATTAATTATACCATTTGTTATCTTTAGCCGTCACGTGTTCTTCTCTCCTCATTCTGAAGCAATAGGTAAATATTAATCATTAGATTATAATTTTGGTTTTAAATATATTTGTAATTTTGTGTTTTATTTGTTAACCCCTTAACTGCAGCGGACGTATATATATGCCTTGCTCAGCTGATGTGTTAACTGCCCCGGGCGTATGTATACGCCTTTCCAAACTACTGTCATTTGCTTTGTGCTGCTACCTGTAAAATTACTTGCAAAGTTTTGGAATGCAACATCACAATGACCTTGACAAAGCATGCGAAGGAGGATACTATTTCAGAGAAGTGTGGGGAGAAATTGGAGAGGGGAATGTGTCTAAAGTGGTTAAAGTAATGACTGCTCGGTATTGGCTGGTGTTGTTTGAGTAAAACATATATGTTTTTTAATTCTGTGTCCTCCGTTTTCATTTACTTTTTGTAGTAGGTTGCTGGAATAAAGAAAGTTATAACGGAAGTTTCAAACCCATTTATCTTTTTTGAATTATTTTTTGATGAACTGCTCGTGCTTCATATTGTTACTGAAACTAACCGTTTTGTAGACTAGTATATGAACCAACACCTTTCAAATGAAAAATCGAGAACAAAATTGTGGCATTCAACCAGTTCAGAAGAAATACAGTCAAAAGTCGTTAATCCAGACTCGTCGGGACTTCGGCGATTCCGGATTATAGATCATCAGTTTAAATCTCGTAAGATAGCATGCAGAAATTCTAAAATTAAAAATATGAAACTGTAATTTATGAAATAAAGAACAATATGATCTAAAGGGTATCAAAATTTAAAAAAAAAAAAGCTTAATATTTATTTGTTTACTTTATTAAACATTTCTTTCAATGTAAGCTGTTTAAGTTGCTTCATTTTATGTGATAATACTTTCTCTTTAATTCTATAAACAGACATAATTTCTTGTTCAGTTACAAAGTTCCGGTGTTCAAGTCCCGTTAATTGCTGCGCCGAGAATACCGACTAACTTGTCAATCGAAATTTTTTCGTTTTCACTAACCTCTCTGTCACATTCTTCACGTCTTTATCCATTTTTTGGAGCAATTCCACTTTTTGTTTGTTGGACATCGAAAGATATTTTTTTTTTTTGGTAGATCCTTTGGAAGTTCTAGCATCGGAAATTCTATTTGACATATTCGAAATTTCAAGTGTACGTTTATAAAATTGCTCTTACAGTCTGCAAAAAATAATAAGTGGGATCCAATTCAAAGATTAAGGAACAACGCAATCATTAACATTAACTGAAATAGATAATTTTAGCTTACACCATCCGTTATACATTAAATGCGCAGGCGAAAATGTATTCTGCACTTGCGCACACGCATATGCGCAGTAGCCAAGGTCTTACGCGCATGCGTAAAACGCCTATGCGCATGTGCCAACGCGGTGCATGCGCAGAAAGTTTTTTAGCTTTGAGGTCCAGATTATGGATGTCCAAATTAACGACTTTTGACTGTATATGTTTTTTTAGGCATACTGATTTCACAAGGTATAACACTGAAACCTGATATTACACTTTACTGGTCTAAAAATGAATTGATCGAAACTCCATTTTAGTGATCTTTTTATTATATTTTTTTTATTATACTTTTACTCAAAACATTAAATTTTGTTCATTCATTTTTTTTATTCTTTATTTTGTGAAAGTAAACAGTTTTTAGAAAGTAAAACTTGCACTTATTTTCCTCCTAATACATCACATAACTACGTGTGCCTGTGTGAAAAACCGTGGCACTGAGAAATGAATCTTGTATATTTTCCGTGGCAGTTAAGGGGTTAACATAAGTAAATGTGTTTATTTATAAATATAATTCTGTTATCATTAGTTTTTTTTTAAATTTATTATCCTTACCTATTGTTATCCTTTTACTTTTGAAAAGATTCATTTGGTATTTACATAGATACATTAGCAGGGGTGATTGTGGTCCAGATATAGTTGGAATTTTTTTTATTTTCTAAAATCCTTAATTTTCAAATTTTATAAATGAAGACTTATTATTTTTCTCAAATTTTGTTTCAGAATGAATATATCATTCAGGGTTACATAAATTTAAAACGCTTGTGCTATACGAGTGAGCAAACTTGTGGATGTAAGTCATGTTCTGCTGTGTTGCCCCCTCCCTCCACATTACATTTTTCATTAAATTAGAACATTCCCAATGTTGTGGTTGTTTCCTAGGCTGTAAAATGGCAAACTGTAAACATGACAAAAACCATAATAGAAATTGGAATTAACTGTAAGCTTTAAACAGCTTGGGTTAGTCCGGTCCACAGTTCTGCATATACTCAAGTAGCATCCATTAAAAGAAGAAGGCATCATACGGACATATGTCTTTAGCATCCTATTTGGAGATTTCATTAGGTTTAACTTGCCTCCACAGATCCATTGATAGCCTAGATGCTATGCAGATTGAATATTATAATTAAAATATTATAATACTGAATATCATTATTTAAAAATACATGTGAAATTTTTAGTTTAGATAATTTCTATCAGGTCTGTAGTAATACAAATTTGGGGAGTAATCTAATGACTAACTATACAGTTTACCAAAATGTTTTATATGTCTTGAATTGTTTTCACCATGTTAGTGCCCCATCAGCAGCCGAGTGGTTAGAAACACTGAATTCTGGCAATTTGACCTGGCTTGGGTTTGATCCCAGGTGAACGGGCTGGTTGCATGGTTGTTTTACCCTATGTGTAACATGAATACAAACAGTTTCCTGTAGAAATGCCTCCATGAAGGCATCCCTCTTCTTAGGCTAATAACCTTTGCCATATTCAAATAACCTAATTTAACCTAACCTTATAAAGTTGGCAATTCCTTATCCCCGCTATCTGTTCATATGCATACTTCAGGTTTAACCATTTGTGCTAAAAAGGTGTGCCACGCATGTTGAGATGCTTTTGTCTCAAACCATGCACAAAAATGAAAATAACGGGGTGCACACGTCGCCTAACAACGAGATTGTTTATTTCTCAAGTAACAGCTCTGGATTGGATTGCACTCACAGACGTGGAGTGGCATAAATGAGACACTTTACTGCTTGTTATATTGTAGCATACGGCACCGCAACCATGAAGTTTAGTCGTAGCGAAAGTGGTTAATGTAATACATGAAGGGTTAAGTAAAAATTATTGCCTATATCAAATTGCCCTGCTGAATTCCGATTGCTAGTGAAGAAGCACAGAAATTTTGCAGAACTTAACCCTACCCCAAAAGCATGGTAAATATAGCAATTATTATTTTTTTAATGTTGAGGAACCAAAAAGATAACTGTCACATGATGTGAAATAAATTCATTTTAATATACTTTTTGTTTTGCCAATGAAATTGAAAATATGTGGGTATACATGTATGTGTGAGTATCACTTTAATATTCTGAATTATTTGACATTATGGTGTTTTTTTTTTTTTTTTTTTTTTTTTTTTTTTTTCCCTGTGGTAGTTTTTATGAGTTTTGAAGTAGGCTCCCAATCATCCCTGCATTAGTTCAAAAGAGTTTAAAATTTTTACCAGCTAGTTATCAATAGTTATTAATGCCAATGCTTTCAGGATGTTAAACTTATGACTATTTAACAATTATTACTGAGTTGTTTATGATTGTAGTTAGTGTTAAAAATGAATTTTAAACATAAATTTGCTGGTAGTAGTTTTCTAATTTTTATGTTCTGGCCAGCAGCTGAATAGTAAAGTCACTGAACACTGCTAGTTTGGTTCGGGGTTAGAATCCCGACAATAGGGCTGCCTGCATGGCCATTTTTCATGGTTTTCCCATATTTGTAAAGTGTATATGAGCCAGTTCCTCTTAGAAAGCCCTCCAAGATGTTATCCCTCCCTCTAGCTTAGCAGATAGACTGTAAAATTAGAATTTAAAAAGTAATCATCAACAGAAAATTTTCCCTATTACTTTTAGACAAATAAACTAATGTATTTTTTTCATACAGTTAAAATAAAATTAATACATATGATACCATAGAATAACAGTTTTAATTCATTAAAGGAAAAAATGTTAGTGAACATATAGGAAAAGAATTACTTTAGGTAAGCCTTTAAACTACCACAGTCTGATACAGCACCTCAGCAATGAAACCATACCAGAAAAATAAGCATTAATTTAAATGTTTCCACTGACCTAAAATGTTATAGAAATAAAAAATGGCGAGCCTTCCCCCCCCTTCCCCATCTGAAACTGAGGTAGCAAATGTACAGATTAATCCCTTTGTATCATAAAAGGTTCATGATTTAAGTAATACTTTTAAGCAAAATTTTCCTATTTTAAAAAGGAAGTGAGTGAAGTGTTATTGTAATCTGTTTTTCATGGATGAAATATTTTGTTCACATATCTGATATAATTTTATCAACTAATAGCGCTCTTTTTAACTTGAGTGAAATCTTGGTTCACGAATTTAATTAGTTCCTGAAAGCATTCGTAAACCAAAATGTTTGAAAATGGAAACATTTTCCCTACAGCAATTAATGTAAAATGGATCAATTTCTTCCTGAAGCCAATGAAATTCAGTAAATATTGTTGTGTGTGCAGGGATTTGTAATAGACTGAATGTACACAGGTCTGATGATAGGTTGATAAAATGTATTTTAACAAAAGAAGCATTTCAGAGTTCTGAAATTTTCCATAGAAATACATGTACAAGTGTTCACAGCATCACAAAGTACAATCAGTAGTTACACTTCAAACTACTAAGAGCATTAAGCACAATGCAATGCAAAGCACTCCTAAAGAGAATTATTGCTTGAATGTGAAATTCTGTTTCATATAAACATTAGGTAACTGTCTTTAGAAGCCTTTTAAAAAAATATTTCCTTTGTTTATATGTGCCTGAGACTCTGTTGGCTTTTATTTCACTCGGAATTTGTACTGTGTAATTTTTTGTTGTCTGCATTTTAAAACACTTCTAAAATCAGACATGGCATTGTTATAGAAGATGCTTGTGTTGCAGCTTGCTATTTACTTTATCTGAATGATATCATTACGTGGAAACTTCTCGTCTAGCCTTTTTGCATAAAAATCAGGGATAAAAAAATTAGGATAATTTTTTATTCTTCCTGTTCTTTTTGAAGACATTTCTTCCACAACTGCCTGTTGTTGCTGCTGCTTCTTAAGTTGCTCTTTCTTATTGAGTGCACTTTTCTAACATTTTCATGACTTCATTGTTAACTTCCTAGCCCATGATTTGCATAGAGACACAATATCTTAGATAACAGAAACAGTTTCAAATGTCAAAAAGTCTCTGCCTGCAATCCTATCGAGCCATAATTTGGTAAGGCTTTATTATTGAGAGTTTATAAGGACCTTAAGTTTTACTAATGTTTATTTTATTTTAAAACTTAACTGTCCTCTCTTATTTTCCACTTCCGGCCAGAATAAACACATGAATCTGTTTATGCAAATTATGCTTGCTAACACTTAAGTATTTAAGTTGTGGCTTTTCGCCAAGAACAGAGTTAAATGGGGAGAGAGTGAGCCTTCTTGCCACTTTATTTCATGTGTGCTTTCAGTCAGTTGCTGTCGGCTTTTAAGGCCAGAGGTTTAGTCCTCTTGATATCTAAGACATATTGTAGTTTTCCGCAGTTTGCGTTCTACATACGTAATAATCTTAAAGGCCAACCTTAGTGTTATTCATTTGTGTTATGTATTCGAGTTTAGCTCTTATTTAAATTTAGTTAGCTAGTAGTTCTTATTTGCTTATGTTAAGATCACAAGTGGTTGGTCTTTGTATCCCGAAATGCAGAAGCATCTGTAATTCACAGAGAATAAAGGGTAAAGTTAACCCTTCTTAGCTTGAACATAGCTATGTTCGTGTATGTGTGGAAGCTCTGTGTTTCCATTCAGTATTATTAGATGTTTCCCCAAGGCAATTAGAAGGAATAGCAGTTATGATATGTTAAGGAATGGAAAATATTAAAAGGTTTCCTAAAGTCCTTGAATGTTAATTATTTAGCATAGGATATCTCAAAACACCTTTGAAAGTCATGTTACCAGCTTGAGTATTCATAACTGAAAGCACAATTCATCACCTAAGGATTTTTTTTTTCCCCAGTAGTTCATGAACTGAATTGTTTGTGATCCAAAGTTCAACTGTGTTAATGAGCTGCTCTCATCACTTTAGAAATCTGACTATTGTATTAATGCTGTCTTTAGAAGTATTATTGCTTTCAAAAATAACTGATATGTTTAAAAAGGCATTACGTTGTGAAATTGCATTACACTAAATAATTCTGACTTTTCCCGCTAGCTACGTAACACTTTTTTTGAGTCCTGTATAACTCTAAGCATTTCAGTTGTATCTGAAATAACAAAAGAGTAATATTTATTATAAATGATACACTGTTTTAAATTTCTTTTAAAAATGAACTTTTTTAAAATCCTGGCTACTTTTTGAATGCTGTAGGTGTATATTTTCTGTAGTATTTACTTATGTCTTTAGCTTCATAGTAATAAATAAGATAAATATTTAAATATTCTTAATTATTGCATTTTGCATTGTGTATCGAAAATTCTAAAGATATGCTCATTTTAAAATTATTTTGCGACATTGCTTTTGAACTGAATTTTTTGGTTTTAGTGCAAAGAACATGATATTTAATAAATAAAGGTAACACTCAAAACATTAAAAAAACACCCCTTTAGACATAATTTAAAATCTGAAACCTTTCAGATTTTTTTATTTTTATTTATTTTTTATCTAATTTTTAATTGTATATTCTCATGTTATCTTTCAATGAGGGATGTCCTCCAAGTATTAAGATTAGGAATACGGCATTAGTCAAATAATTTCCAGAAACATTATGAGCAGTTTATTAATGACTTTTTGCATTAAAGGTACTATGAGCAGATCATAAACAAATTTTTATATTTCCCTAATTGAAATACTTTAAAAGTACCTATTTTTATGTTTGTGGTTGTATTATATTAAATTAGCTAAATTATATTGCTGTTTCAAAGAGAAATTTTTTCTCATTATTTAATATTATCATTTGGTTAATGTATTCAGATTCATAAAGTAGTTCAAGTAGATAATAATAATGAATACATTGGTTCATAAGCTGCTTATAATAATGTTTAATGTTTCATAAACAGGTATTAATGCTTGCCTAAACATCAGTACTCATTATCCTGCATAAGACTTCCATTTTATAAATCAGTTTCTGGAGGAATAATGATTTTTGAATATTTAACATATGTAAATAAAGTATCTATATTTTTTAAATAATACATTGTGCATCAAATTTAAAGCATAATACCCCCAAAAGGCTGATTGATTAAAATTTTTAACCAGTTCTTGGTGGTGTAATTATTTATGTTAACTATTTACTTCTGAATGCAAAATTAGTGCATACTTTAGCTCACAAAATATGTAAATTGGGGAAATGACAATGTATAGAAAATGGGCGATTTGAAATTCAAATATGTAATGTTGTTTAAAGTTTATGTGATTTCTTAGATTAGTGTGGTGTGGGATTTCTGAGATTTCTGTGATGATTAGTGTTCATTAGATATGACTCAAAGGCATGTTTTAAGTGAAAGACGAAAGTGGAGATTCAATGGTAGACCGAAGTCGTTCAATTTTTAGATATTCTTGAAACTGTTGGAGCCACTTTTTAATTATATTTTTGGGGAATCAGTTAGTAGACAATCTGGTCAAGGACAGTCAACTGCAACAACTACATCTGAAGACTATTTTCTGTCATTTTTGGCTGTAAGAAAAACTGAGATTCCACTATAAGAGAATTTGTTTGATTCCACTATAAGAGAATTCGTTTTAGATCTTAAGGCTGTTACAGGAACTCAAATTGTACATTTCACTGCATAAAAGCTTCACAAGGTGTTACTTTATGCGAAAAGAACCACTTCATATTCCAATGGGGCTCATTTAAAGAGGCATCATTGTCATGTTCAAGTGGAGCCAAGAGGAATGGAACTATGTACTTAGTGATGAATTCAGATATACCTGGAATTATGATTCTAGAATGTGTTTTAATCTGAAGGGAGTGAGAACCACACAGCTTGCCTTTCCTTCTTAATGCAAGATCCCATTTCTTATGAGATTCCATTTATCATCAGATGCAAAATCCCATTTCTCCATTTCTCATGAAACTGCCTATGATTTAGAAGGGCCATTATTTAACTGTATGTCTTTGATAGAGATTCTGCAAGATATGTAGACAAGGTCTTGGTGCCTCATTAGAGTGCTGTTGGGCCAAAGATTTTGCTGATGGATGACAGTTTTTGTCTGCATTTAGGATCTTTGGTATCAGAACACTGGAAACAGAAGATGCCACTCAAATATACTGGAAAATTTTTACTCATAGACTTGAAACTGATTTAGCATACCACATATTCCCCCAGGATGTGAAAAGAACTTTTTTGAAAGAGTAGCATGCAGTTCGTTCTACAAAAATTGATCAATGGTTAGGTAAAGTCTATGAAATTAAAATGTGAGGTTTGCATTTCTATTAGAGATAACTATACACCATATTAAAAAAAGATTTTTTGCTGAACAGGCTAGATACATTTTTCTTCATTTAAAAATTTCTATATATTTGATTTTAATAATGAAAGAAAGTTTTTGACTGATAATATCATGCTGCTTAGTATCAGTATAGCTTTTAATTTGATTATAATTTTTTTGTACAGAATTTTATAAGAATATTAGCAATAGTATTTTGTGTATATTTTCTAATGACTGATCCTTTTTTATATTAATTTCTGGAAAAAAAAATAGCAGCATTAATAAGTCCACAATACCTTTAATTTGATCTAAGCAATGTAAATAACATAAAGTAAAATAAATTGCTGCTATAAAGTAAAAGGCAAAGTTGTTTAACATTCAAGAACTTATTTATTTCCGTGCAGCTTTTCAATTAATATAATTTATGCCGTCATTGCTGGGTTTCATTCATCATATGTTGTTATTAAAATGCATTATAAAGAAATATGTTCTTGAGTCTTTGACAAATTTCTTTTTCATTTTGACGGTAATGTATTATCATTTTATTGTTATAATAAGCTAAAATAAAAGGATTATATGTATATATATATTGTTCTGATAATGCATGCAGTTTTTACTTATATGAGTGATGTATATTTTACAGGTACAGCAATTTTTATGTTCACAATGTATGGATGGGCATCAATACCTTTTAGTTATTTGTTTTCATTTCCTTTCAAAAAAGGCAGTACTGGCTTTTCAGTTCTTGTGACAATTTCTGTTTTAGCTGGTAAGTATTCTCCTGTATTTTTAATTAGATGCTTTTTAAATTTCAGAACTTTTTTGTAAAGGGATTCTTAAAAATATTTGTTTGTTAGTAATAATTTTTAACTGTTAGAAATTTTGAATAAATATCTAAGTTCTGTATGAATATTTCGCTAATTGACACTGCTGAATTTAATCACTAATTGGCTGTTTATTTTTAGGGGTTGCTATAGCTAGTGCATTGAGCACTGTGCAGGCCCAGTTCACTGCAATGAAGATGAATAGTACTGCTCTTGATGCTTCAGTTTGGGCATTTCGCATTTTCCCAAACTATTGTGTATCTTCTGGTTTTTCTAATTTGTTTGCTATTGCCTATAATAATGCATTTTGTGATAATATACCAAAAAATGATCTAGCTTTTGCATGTGATCCAAAATTTATCACTGAGGGAAGTCCAATTTACAAGTGTTGTAAAGGTATGATTTTATGCAGATTTTGCTAAAAATTTTAATTCTTAGATTCATATATTTTAAAGTATAGTGAAATTGTGTTTTGTCTCTTTTTAAACAGATTTTTGTGGAGAGGAATGCCTTAAACAAACTCCATTTCTTACATGGGATAAGGGTGCTTGTCTCCGAGATGCTGTGATGTTGCTTATAGATGGATTCATATATTTTGCCCTTCTGCTCTTGTTAGAAACTACTATGGTAAAAAAAATCTTACACAGTATTAAAAACCATTTGCCAAAGTGTAAAAAAGCATTAATTGGCCAAGTGCTTGGTAGCAGCATCGCAGAAGATTCTGAAGTTATTGCTGAGGAAGAGCGAGTGCGTAACATGACTTCTAATAATGCAGCTGATGAAGCTCTTATAGTACATAATTTAAGTAAAAAGTTTAACAGTTTCCACGCTGTTGATCATTTGACTTTTGGAATTCATCAAGAAGAATGTTTTGGACTTCTCGGGGTGAATGGGGCAGGCAAAACAACAACTTTTAGAATGCTTACAGGTGATTGCCTTCCCACTGAAGGTAATGCTTTCATAAAGAACTGTTCATTGATGCAAGATTTAAGAAAGGTAGGATATATTCAATTATAATGAAAAAAGAACGCATTTAATGTGTTAACTAGTACCTGTAATTACATCGTCAAAAATGCCACCTCTGATTTTGATTCTTCAGCGATGGTGGAAATATGCTGGAAATGTAATATCAACAATAGCCAACAAAATTTTAGAATAAGAGCTGGGTTTGAGGGATGTCACATGACCTTTTATTTAGCAGAGTTCATATGAAAGAAAAGCTGTGGAAATTTATTATCTGATATGATTTGGAATGCAATTCCAAATGATACTTACCAGAAGGGGGAAAAAAAAAACTTTTAATTTGCTGATGTTAAAAATATTTTTCATCACCAGAAAACACCAATAGGTTGTTGTTGGTAATAGCAGGTTCCAGTTAATACATGAGTACCAAAAAAGTTCTTTTAGTAATTGTTTTTATGGTCCTTCAATACATTTTATTTAGGAATGTGTTGTGGATTTAATTCCAAGTTAGTCTAAATTTTTTTTCAGTTCTGTTTTAGAGCATGCATTAGGGGATACATAAATTCAACTAGAAAGTGAAATGAAATTTTATTTAATTTTTTAAAAATGAATCTGTCAAAAAACAAAGAGTCTGTTACTCTATTATTGCCATAGTCTATGTTTACATCCTTGAATGAAGTAGAGGAAGTATTGTAATTGCAAAAAATTTTGGATATCATGTTTCAATGAAAATATCCATTTTTACAGCACTCGAATCCATTTAACTGCTGGGACAATTTTTTAGGCATAATTACTGTGAGCAGTCTCACAGACCTTTTAAAGAAAGACATAAAAATGCATACTTTTATGCCTTTTTAAGGAATATTATAGATACTTTATGCACATTTATGGAATTTTAATTAATTTAAATCAATATATTTTAAATATAAATCATTTAATTTTACACAGTTTAATTCTTATAAAGAATGACTATTTTCTTCGTTTTAAGGAACAAAGCATTTAAATAACACAAAGATTTTATTAAACATGTATGAAAATATGTGACTTTATTAAATATTACTGTCAATTAAACCATAATTCTATAACAATGAATTTAATTTTTAATAAATAATAGATAAGTATGTCTTTGTTTACAAGGATGAATCATAAGATCACACATAGTCAAAATACATTTTTTGAGAAGCACTGAAGACACACTGGTTCCTTGCATTCCAAGCATTTGCATACTATTTCTCTCTTCTTACAAGGTGGGCACAGACTACATGTGTTTCTTTCTTTTAATTTTTCTTCTTGATTTGATAAATCAATTCTCTTAATTTCCTTCTGTCCAAGGATTCTTCTAACTGTTATCTTTAGTTCCCTTGGCAAAAAAGCGGAAGTTATCCCAACTTTCAGATGCGGTTTAATAAATTGATTAGCTAATAAAAGCATAAATGGTTTTGTTTTCAGTTTCAGGGTGTATCAGACTAAGGAGCTGAATTATTAGTATGTTATCCTTTAGTGGTACTGCCTGATTTGGTTCTTTTTCTCACCATTTGAAGTGTTTTTTCCCATAAAAATTATCATTTTGTTCACAGTCATTAGAAAAATTATGATATTCATCTGCAGAAAGCTCAGATTCACTTTTGCTTTCGATGTGAATACTACATGATTCTTCAGAATCAGAGTATTCTACATCAAAAATATTGTTGACAAGATATTGAATTTCTTTTTGAGTGAGATATACGGGACGCTTTCTTATAACATTTTGAAGCCATATTTATCAATTTTATGAAAAACAAGCATCCAATAAATTACATGTATCATCCACTAAAACTGGTACGCATCTGCTGTGAGCAGTCTCCCAGACAACTTAAAAAGTAAAAAACATGGTAACTGAAACCATAATAAAGTTAGAAGTGTGAAACTGGATATGTGAGGGGTTTGGGAAGATAGGAGGAAGGACATGGACCATTCTCCATTTTTAGGGGTGGAAACAACGGTTAGAATATCCTCAGTGGTCTCTCAAACCGCTTACAGCAGTTAAAGGTTAAATGATTTCTTTGCTTGTCATCTGTACGTATAGACAAAGCACAGGACTCTTTTTTTTTTTTTTTTTTCCAAATGGATTTCAAAATAGATTGATTCTAAAAGAACATTTCATGACATCTGTATGTATGTAGAACTCAATTAGTAGTTGTGAAACGTTGAAATTTTGTATATGAGACTGCTATAACATCTAGTTGTGCACCTGCCTATTTTGTTTAAATCGGCGCACCAAACATATGTCTCCTACCTGGCTCTGTATGCTCTTGTTTTTTTATTCTTATGTGTTCGCAAATTGTGCTTTCTTGCTCTAAAAGGTGATTGAGTTATATTGTTCTTATGTTTTGTTTAAGTTTTTTAAATAGTTAATCTGCTTGCAATAGTTGTGGAATTATCAACAATTTAAACGTGTAAGTTGTGCTAGGCCTAACAAGGTGGCTATTTTTTTTACATTTGAAACTTTCAGTAGTATAGGGAATTAAGTTGGTGCACCAATTTAAGTGACTTTTTGCAAAGTGGGACCAAAAGTTAACATTAAATTTTTGTTCATTGAAGACTTTGTCTTTCTACTTTGTTGACCAAATCATAGAAACTCTAATTTTAATTGCAAGAATTGTTTCTAACTGTATTTTGTATGTTAGGTTTTTCTGTATTTTGCAATTTTTGATGAAAATGTTTTGAGTGTTAATGTATTTATGGCGATGGTTTATCACTATTAGTCTCCATTAGAAGGTCAGTAGAAAGGCACAGACTTCAGCTAACAGTTAGAACCAACTTTATTAATATTTAAAAAGTAGAAAAGCATATCTTGCAAGAAGGTAAACATTTAACATTAACATGCATGAACTGATGCCAGACATTGATAATGAACATTCAAAATCAGGTGAGAAGTAAGTAGTCGGCAATAAAGTTCAAGTTTTTATACTCTCGCTTTGCTGAGCACATATGCATATTGTGCAGCAAAGACGAACATTGCCACTGACTGCAGTGTAGATTTCTGCCATATATTTTTGCCTTGCAGCAAACTGAGAACTTGATAGATTGAATGAGAAATATACTAATGAAATTTGAGGAAATAAGTTTAAATGAAGTGCAGGAAAAAATGTGTGTAATTTAATAGCTCATGTGGTGTCGATATCAGATTTTTTTCTTCACTAGAAGCTGAATGCTACATAGACAGAAAATGGGTAATAATGTAAAAACTAAACATTAAATCGTAGCTAAGACAACTTTGAGAAAGTATGAATAAGTTACTGGTTCATAATTTTTAGAGGCCCACCACCGGGCAAGCGGTAAAATCACTGAACACTGGTAGTTCGGTCCGAGGTTCGAATCCCGCGAATGGGCTGGCTGCCTGGGCGTTTTCTTGGTTTTCCCCATGTGTTACGTGTATATGAGCCAGTTTTCCTTAGAAAGTCCTCCACGAAGGCATCCCTCTCCTTATTCAGATAGCCCTAGTGTGCTTTGCCGTATTCACAATACACACCATAATTTTTAGATTAGATTAAATTATTTGCGTAGCACACGAGGGCTATTTGTCTAAGGGGAGAGATACTTTTAAGGAAAATTGGCTCATGTTTTCACATGACGTGTATGTGTGTGTGTGAGAGGAACCCTCACATACAGCCAACCCATTATCTGTAATTTAAACTAGTTAAAAGACCTGTGATCAGTGGTCTTACCACTTGGTTGCTGGTGGGCAAGAATTTTAGGTACTCATGTATTATCACAATACACACCATAATTTTTAGATTAGATTAAATTATTTGCATAGCACACAAGGGCAATTTTCTAAGGGGAGAGATACTTTTAAGGAAAATTGGCTCATGTTTTCACATGACGAGTGTGTGTGTGTGGGAGGGGAAACCTCACATACAGCCAACCCATTTTCTGTAATTTAAACTAGTTAAAAGACCTGTGATCAGTGGTCTTACCACTTGGTTGCTGGTGGGCAAGAATTTTAGGTACTCGTGTATTATCACAATCACCTTAGAAGAAGTCACCAAATTTTCAGAATGTATCAAACTCTGGCAACCATGTGCATAACCATTCTTCTGTCAACTATGCTCATAAGAGTGCTTTAGTCAAACAATGGTGATATATATTCATATGTCCCTTCTTTTGTTGTATTCCAATTTCCAATGGAGCCCACCAGTGGGCGAGCGGTAAAGACGCTGAACACTGGTAGTTCGGTCCGAGGTTCGAATCCCGCGAATGGGCTGGATGCATGGGGGTTTCGTGGTTTTCTGTATGTGTAACGTGTATTGAGCCAGTTTCTCTTAGAAAGTCCTCCACGAAGGCATCCCTCCCTTAAGGCAGATAGCCCTCGTGTGCTTTGCCATAATTGAATAACCCTAACCCAAGTTCCAATGGTTTTTATAAACCAACCATGATATTTTTTTGCTTTAAAGTTTTAAAATATGAGCTGTGGAATTTTCCAGCAATAGAAGAAACTGCGATTAGTTTCTCCAAGAATACAGAATTTTCCTGAAAAGTTTTTAAGAGAAATGATGTGGAAATGGGTTTCCTTGATAGCCGCTGTTGCGGAGGAATGTACAAGGCCAAGTTTCTGTAATTGTGTGATGTTTTTATAACCGAAAACAGATTGCTGTGCATTTCAGGAGAATAGCACAAAAAAATTATAGAAAAGCTTGAAGAAGAGTGTAAATGTGTTACATTTTTAAAGTAATCTTTATTGAGCCAAATCACTTAATTGTGCAAAGGTGGTTACACTAATACACAATTAAATTGCACACAAGTACAATTTTAAAATGATTGTGAATGAAATAAAAATTTAAAAGAAAATTCATATTTATTAAAGTTTTACATTTGAAATTTTATTGAAATGTATGAACGACTGAAGAAATGGTCAACGATCTGGACATTAATACTGCAGTAAAAGTGATCTCTGATACTATTGTACAAGCAGCTGGACTCTGTATTCTGAAGTCCTCGACAAAGTTCCCTAAACCCTGGTGGAACAATGATTGTCATAAAACTTCGAGAGA